ATTTTGATTTTTGTGTTTAAATATCCTGCATTGTAACTTACATGCGAGGTCATCTTTGTAGCAACTCTCAGTGAAAAGCTATCTCCTGCAACTTTGAAAGCATATATCTTTAATTATCCACGGTTTTGAGAAAGCACAGTTGTAAAAGACACCCATGTATGGCAGAAAGTATCTCCTTACTGACGAGTTTCCAAGTTTCAGCTCCAGTTGCTGGGGCTGATATTAAAAGATCATGTCACAGCGACAGTATTTTGAAACCAGCTCCCTCTGCACACTCCTCCCCAAAGACTTAGGTTTTTTTTCTCTCTGATAAGCCATAGCTGTGTAACTCCATTAAATCTGCCACAAAAAAGGAAGAAACAAACTCCAAGCCTGTCTGGACCAGCAGTACCAACATCTGCACCAACACCTGTAACTGCAGAATTCCTATAGATTGGAAAACAACATGGAAAGCACTCTGGTCATTGATAAATCTCCTTGGGAAATGACCTCCAAGGGACAGCTCTGTCTCTGGTGGTAGATTAGGTGCTTTAGGAACAGAAGCTACAAGGCAAACAAGATGGGCTGGGATGGAAGTAGTCGTGTGAAGGTTCAGGTCTCGTAAGCTAGGAGGGCTCCATCCCCAGCAGTGGGCCCCAGCCGCTGAGGGTCCCTCTGAGAGATGTTGATTTGTTCAGCTCGAAGAAACCTGCAGTCCTACCTTACCTTATATCTGGCAGCTGCCCATCAGTACCTCAGCTCTGCACAGGAGCCTGAGCTGCTCTGTGGTGCCTGGAGGTTTGTTCCATACCTGTGCCAGCAGAAGAGAAACATTGCTTTGCTAACTCAGAGCAAAAGCAGGCACCGGTGCTGAGAAGCCCAGCAGCAGCTGTTATCTATTAGCACTGGCAGTTTGAAACCATCGTGCCCTGAGCTGCTGCTCCATGCTGCAGTGGGGGCGATGCTCTTCCACAGTCCTCCATTTGGTCGTGTCATGCAAAGAGCTGATTCTGAAAAACAGCAATAAAAGGAGATCGGGAATAACAATCTAATGCACTAGAACTGCAGTCATTTGGCTTTCTCTTATTAGGTCTGTCATTAAAGAAGTCAGACCGCTGGCACAGGCACAGTTTTCATGCTTTCCAGTTTCCAGTCAGAGTGAATACATATATATATTTTTTTTCCTTGGGGCTGTGAGTTGCTCTTGAGGAAAAAAATGATTTAATCAGTTTTCTAGATATTGGTTCTTGGATACATTTATCTTATGCTCTACAAATGACAGAAATACAGTTTCAGGAACTCTAAAGCTTCTACGTTGATTAGACGCTACACCAATAATAATAGTAATAGTAATAACAATAAATGATTAAAAATCAGTAAAAAAAAACATTAAAAAAAAAGTTAAAAAAAAAAAGGGAAAAAAAGAGGAATGCATATGCTAGGACTAAATGTACTGTTAGCACTTTCCTACATAATGCATTTGTGCCTAAGCTATCTTTTATACAGATCAGCTAATAGAACAGAAGCTTCTTATGGTGGAACTGCAAACTGAAATTCAAGTGATGCAATAATTTTTGCTGGCTATTATTACTGAAAAAGTAACAACCCCAAAAAAGCTGCCCATGGATGGATCAGGAAATCTTCCAGAAGCATAAAAGTAGCTCAGCAAGGTGTATTTTAATGACCAACACCGGATGGTTCATAAGCCAGGATCGCTGTGAATGTACTGTTTTTACTCACTTGATGTATGCATCCTAAATGCAGTTGCAATCTAAAACTGATTACAAAAACAGAGAAAGGAGAAAAACTCAGCCAACGTAAATCTCAGGAAGGAATAATACTTATTTTGGCTTTTTCTGTTTATTTTTGGTTTGAACAGATTCCTCATCAAAATAAGCCAACTAAGATGATTCTTTAATCGTGGCAATGTGATTGGGTTGGAGACGTTGCATAGGCCGGGTGTGGGAGCCCTGAGAAGCACAGATAGCAGCTAAGCCATTCTCACAAGTGAGTGGCAAAGACGCTCATGCAGGGTAAAAAAAAAAGGCTGAGGTTGAGAAAACCTTTCCCCCACAGAAAAGCCTGAATGAAAACAAAAAAAGCAGCTTGCTTCTAAGGCAAGCCTGATAGAGTTCAGTGCTGCAGTGTGCAGCAGGGCTGAGCTGTGGCAGAACATCAGTGAAGTACAGCACTTTGGAAAGATCTTAAAGCCAATCAGCTCAGAACTATCTGTGAATCCATTCCATGCTGATGGGTTTTGTGCCTTTTTTTTTTTTTTTTTTTTTTTTTTTTTTTTTTTTTTTTTTTTTTCCTGGCTTATTGTTGTACTTATTGAGCTTGGTATCAAGTGCAAGTTTATTTTGGTTGGCTGATTTCTTCTGGCAAATGAAACATTGGGCAAGTTTTCATCATTCTCCCTCTGGAGTTTGCTGACGTAAGGAACAGTCAGCACTGGCCTCTTCTGCTGAGGTCTGGAGTAGAAGTGCGTCTCCCTTTCGGAGCTGAGGTGTTCAAGAATCCACATTGAGGTAAATAGATCAGAAGCTGCTCGTGTGAAAGGCTCCGGGCTATAGAAAGTGAACGCTTAAACTGAGACAGGGGAGGTTTAGGTTAGATATTAGGAGGAAGGTTTTCACACAGAGGTGGTGATGCACTGGAACAGGTTGCCCAAGGAGGCTGTGGATGCCCCATCCCTGGAGGCATTCAAGGCCAGGCTGGATGTGGCTCTGGGCAGCCTGGTCTGCTGGTCGGCAGCTGTGCCCATGGAAGGGGGGTTGAAACTAGATGATCATTGTGGTCCTTTTCAACCTAGGCCATTCTATGATTCATTTTGCTGCTTGTACAACACGCTTGTCTTTGAAATTCTAACCACTCCTACATTTGTTATGTCCTATAACCAACCAATAGACAATATGGCTGCACAGCTCTTCTCTCACCAACCGCGAGACCAAAATTAGGCATTTAATTTCCTGCTGGCTACATTTGCCTAAACAGACATTGCAAGAGCAGTCAACAGACACAGGGATATCCAGCAAATCATGTAATGTAAGTGGAAATTATCTCAACTGATAGATTGAAACATTTTAGTTAAAACAAAAGTATATTAGACTTTTTACAGTCAAGTCTGTTACACGTGTGACTAATAAAGATCAACATGTTGATCCAAGAATTTACAATTTAAATAGTTGAGATTCATCTTAAGAAGATTTATGAGAAAACCAATTTGGAATGTTACATTGTATAAATTAATAGTGACAGATTTCTATGTGTAGTACACTTAGGAAATGACTGCAAAATAAACTAGGAGGTCGTAATACTCAAAGTTAAGCAATATAATTCAAACAAATGGTTCTGTTACTTACTGGGAACCGTATGTTCACATGTCACAACTTATTTAAGTATTTCTATTTTGGTCTACAGGCCTTGGCAACAGATTTCTTAATAAAGGGGCTCATAAGGTCAAGGGTGAAGAGTGATACTGTGTTGCCAGTGCTCTGCAGTCTTTAGGTAAATAGTTTCAATTTTAAGCAGTCGGATTTGCAAAGGAACCTGATTATTAATTCTGGTATCAAACATATTTTTTTCTGAGGTAAGACGCTGTTAAGAATGTGCGTGTCAGAACACCAAGCAAGTAAAAGACCCAAATTAATTATATTTCCCAGTTTGTATCTAAAACAAGCTCTGCATTACTTGGATATTTGAAAACAAGATCTCATCTTTTTGAATTGCAGCTGCTCGGTATTTCTGAAAATAAAGTCAGTTTAATTCTCCCTAATATAATCTTAACTCGGAGTTTTCCCATTATTATGGGAAACGTTTGTTATACGTTTATGATGTGTAAAATGGGTAATGTATAACGTATTTACAGAGCATCTGTGCTAATCTGGGACTGAACAGCCTGCCACCCAGACACTGCTGAACCTCTGAAGAAAAAAACCTGGATAGCCCTCAAGTTTAAAGGAAAGGTGCATTGCAATTCCATTCCAGGTCCAAGAAGCTGTAGCAACGCAATAGAACGGCAATATTTATAAATCGTACTTTGGTGGTTCCATAATATTCATTTGAAATCATTATCTTCACTGCACGTTTTCCATTGTTTGACAGTACTCTGGGGAGCATGGAGTTTGGAAGGTATGAGTTATGAGCTGCCATTAACTTACCAGATAACACATTATTCTCTGCAATGGTGATATATTATTGTGATGGATTGTGTAAATATTTAAAGAAAGTTGTGCCTTTATAGCTAAACATGCATCACAACATAATTTATATCCAAATCTTTACACCTATTGAAAACAAATATACAGATTGAAGAGAATTTTAACTGTTAGGACACTTGTATACATTTTTCAAACATCCCCGAAGTATTTAGTGATAAGTGATTTTCAATAGTGTATGCATGATGTGCTGCCTTAATTCATTTGACTCAGAATCAGTAGCTGTTCACAGTTTCAGCCTGGATGCGAGGCATTTAAAGGCACCTCACCATATTTACTGAGTTGCAATTATTTTTTGAAAATATAATTTAGAACTTTACAATGGGAGGTGTGAGTCTGCCCAAGGAGGTTGTGGATGCCCCATCCCTGGAGGAATTCAAGGCTGGATGTGGCTCTGGGCAGCCACTGTGGCGGTTGGTGACCCTGCACATAGCAGGGGGGTGAAACTAGATGATCACTGTGGTCCTTGTCAACCCAGGCCATTCTATGATTCATAAAAACACAGCAGCATGGGACTCCAGCTGTCCAAGTGGGAGCCTATGGAATCCATTCCCTGGCAGCACAGCTCCTGCTGACTACACCAAAGCTAGCTCCAGCACACGCTCAGTGCACATACAGCACAAACAGTTACCTGCACCTTAACAGGATCAAATCCACTTAGGCATTGGGAAGCATCTTTCCACTTCCTCCCAGTGAGTAACGACTCACTCAACATTTAGGTCCAAAGGTTCTTCAACAAATAAATGGAAGCATGATGACTTTTATCAAAGAACTTTATTAAAAGGAAACAAAAATCATCATTTTCAGAAATAATAAAAATATAAAAACATTTTTATAAATACGAAATTAGCATTCTCTTAGAAATTTTATTCACAGCTTAGTTGTTGAGGCCAAAGTGGGCTTGTTTCCTTACAGCCATATGGAAGCTCTTGAGTTAGCTCACAGCTGAAAAATGTAGTTTTCCATAGGACATACTGTATGCTGAGTGATTGAATCTAGAAGAAATAAAAAGGCAGGATTGTTTGAGATCAAGTGCACAAGAAACAGATTGTAAAGCAGTAATGTATTTCAGAGCAATTTCTGATCTAAAACAGACAGAGAAAGACGGTAAAAGTAAATGCAGTCAGATGATAATAGTGCAAACACAATTTGCTTAAGTTTAACAAAGGTGCAGCATTATTTACCTATCGGCTTTTTGTTGTGGTCACCTTTGAGTGAATTTACTGGCAGTTGGTGCTCGCAGCACAAAACCACAAACGTACTGGATCGTAACACTGAGGTGTCAGAGATAGGACAAAACTTCAGATTTGGCTTGATTTATTTGATTAAGATGACAATTTGTAGGGACAGGCTGTCATTGCTTTTATTATTCTATGATTATGATACTGAGAAAGGGGCTAAGTTTCAAGGACCTGTACCTGGTAAGGTATTATATAGAAACACTTATGTTTTACAAGTTCTGCAGATTCATCGTGTCAAATCCGTCTGCGTGGGCAGAATATAGCAATTATACAAAGCACATGTCAGAATGCAACAGAAATCTGAGAAATCTGTGAAAGGCACAAAGAATTCAGTCCTTTATCTGATGTGTGAGACTCCCTGCATACACAGGGATACACAGTTTTTCAGCTCCCCCGATGGGCTCAGCTTGGCCCATCCAGCTCCATGCAGCTCATCGGCATATGTGCCTTTTAAAGTAATTCTGCAAGGAGTTTTCCCATTTCTAGTTTGTTCTAAATGAAGCAGTCACATACAAGATAAATTTGAAAATCTTTGGATTAAATTGTTTCTTGGTAGAATTACAATGGTGTTTAGCAGGATCATCATAAAGTAGTGTTAGTTTTAACAGAAAGTCCTCGCCACGGAGACAGTCTTCCTGGGAGCCTACTGGTGCTTTCACTTCCTTCTCTCCAAAACCTCTGTTTAGTAAACTCTTTACAGCCAATTTTTGAATACATATTCCCGAATGTTTTATATGTGTTGAAGTATAGCGTATACGAAGGATAGTGCAGCCTGGTCTAGCATTAAATGGGGAGGTTGGTGGCCCTGCCTGTGGAGGGGGGTTGGAGATTCATGATCCTTGAGGTCCCTTCCAACCTGGGCCATTCTGCGATTCTGTGATTCCATCTTACCTAAAATCCATTTTTCTGATAAACATTTTATTTCCTGGTACTTCTTTCCTGGGTATTTTCCTATGCAGATTTTTGCCTGACGTAGGGCCTTACATATTTTTCCTCCTGACAGCTCTATAAGCTCCATCAGCTTTTTGCAGGGTGGCTGGCTGGTGGGAGATACAAACATCACAGGCTGGTTTGAGAACAGACTCAGCTGGTAGTTTCCTGCTGATAGGTGACGCTGCAGCCTGCAGATCTGTATTTGAGGAAACAAAGAAATCAATAAAAACCGTGTTACTCAGAATAAAAACAATCCTTGTCTTAAATTCAAGAAATAAAAATTACAGTATACGAATATGAACTTTTCTGCCATATCAGAAACTTTTGCTTAAACTATGCAATGAGCTAAAATGACCATGTATGGTACACTTGATTGACATAATTCCAAAAACAGAGCTGAGACTCCTTACTTACAGCTCAGATGATTACCTGTAAGAGTTCTTAAAGGGCTTGGCAAAATTACCTTTCACTAGAATCTTACATTTACAATGCTGGGCACCACATGGGCATAGTAAAGTATATTCTAAATAATTATTGTCTTCCACCACACATACAAACCATGGGAGCCTTTATAACACTGTGCTGCTTTACTAACCTATACAATTCAGAGATTACTCTATAATCTCTTTTCCCTTTCTGTGTTCCTGTATTAACTGTACTTTATCTCAGATAAATGAAGTGACGCAAACAAAACAGAACTCAAAGCAAATCACCAGTTTCATGTAAATGCTTCTGTCTCTGCAATAGCAAAAAAGAAAGTCTTCTGTGAATGCAGTACAGCCACTGACACCATCCAATGAAAACCTCTATCTATTTGGAGTAAATTTTCTCACTTTTACCTATCAGAACAATGGCTCAGCAGTTAAATGATTTCCTTTAGTGACATCGTGCAGGAAAGAAAAGCTGTGCACAGAACGAGTGTACAACCCATGGTAATCAATACTAAATCTTCATGCTAAAATAAATGAAAAATCAAGCTTGAAATACTGAAAGTGAGATTGCCATTGCCCTGCCAAATGAATGAATCTGACATTTATGAGTGTGCATCTCATGTCAATATTCTGAAAATTTACAATGATCCAGAAGTAAGATGAGAACAAAAGTAAAAGTTTCAGGTCGTGTGATGCTTGGAATATTTTCATACAGATGATCAATGTGAGCATCTTACATAGCAATAAGGACACTGTGTATATATTTGGCTCACATTAGATGGCTGAATACGAAACTGTAGTCAGTGAAGAGGTGTAACTGGTAGCTGAAAGAATTACTTGTTGAGAGGATTCCTTTCTCCAGCCCTGGCACGAATGTGCTGTGAAACCACAGGCACTTGAGATTTTAATGCAACAGTACATGTGCTTCACGGATGTGCAGCCAAATAAGAGTCTTCACGTGGTTAGCAAAGGCTTTAAAGCTGAATAGTTCCATGGAGTCTTCACTGAGCCTTAGAACAAGGTCAAGATGCATTGCTTTAGCACTTACGACCAACTATGCAGGTGAAGCACTAGAGAAGCATGAAGCCCACGCCAGCATACGAGTTTTCAGCTCACATTTCCACGCCACTGTCCTCTGTGCTGTTCTTGGACAGGCCAGTCCAAAGTCTTAATTCTGAGCTCTCCTCCATCAGTACAGAATCCAGATTTTCCATTATTGTTAATTCCTTGGCTGCTCTCTTCTGAATAAAACTAAGCTGATTCTTTGTTTTCTGAATTCAGCAAGTTATGAAGACAGCAACTGCTATTGACAAACCAGGCCAAAAAAGCCCAACCCTTGAGAACAATCAAAAAAATAGCCTTTATTTTCTTCTCTTTTGTGAACTTAGATTTACGAGTGACATGGCACATAATTTTGTCTCATGGAAGTCAGAACAGCCTCTAAATAATTATGTTGAGCTCAGCATCAAAGCAGAGTTCCATTGTTTGGAAGACCCACGCTCAGTTCAGAGTTAACTCTTGGCCAGATAAATGATACGTGGGGCAGAGAGCTCTTCATCACTCGAATAGTGAGCAGGTCTGATTGCAATTCCTGTACATATGTTGGCATGTAATACTTCACACATGTGCAGAAGATCTGATTTTGAACTTTGCATGTACCACTTATCTCCTTCTGAGCAGAAAACATCTACCTGCTGGGCATCTTGAAGTCATGAAATACAAAAGTCAGGCACTATACACTTGTAGCATATGCTATCAAGTTTGTGAGTCTGGGGCCACAATCTGTGTCTTGAAATGAGACTTCTCAGAGATGTAAAACACTTTGCAATCTCTGAGCAGTGCCCACAGGGCAGTGTGTCATGACTTTGATATTACTGGGACTGCAATTACTCAATTTGGTCAATAAGGAAAAACCCATGCAGTCCTGAAATTAGCAAACTGCTTGTGGCAAGCATGGTCGTAGAATTAAAGAACGAACTATCATCTAGTGAAAAACAGCAGCCCCTGCACATCAATCTCAGAAGAGCCTCATGATGGGTACAATGCCATCTTAGCTGGTAAGACACACAGAAGATCTCTGAAGTTGTTTATTTGGACAAACCAGCAGCAAGGGATAGAAGAAAGACAACTGCCAAGAATCTTCAATGTTTGTTTACCCAACGCAAATCAGATTTAATTCATGGAGACAGATGTTACACTATTTTTGTCAGTCTGGAACACTACGGTTTTAAAGCTGAAAATGGTTAGTTATGATAAGCTGTTATCTTGAAAATGCAACAGGTCTTGTTTTAGACAGTAGTCAAAATATAACTTGCAGTCCTGCTATTTCCCATACTTAATGGAGTATGATTTAAAAGGGCTAATTGTATTCCCACTTCCACAAATGTTTTCCCTGAAAGCATTTATTTGCTGCCACCACAGCGAAAACTAACACGTATGGTAGGTCTTCACGCAGGGAGAACTTCTGGATTAAATTAATAATAAAAGTAAATACACAGCAAATCATCAAATCAGGAAATCCAAATTTTGCACACCCGGTAACACTTGTCTCACCACACGCTCACAATGTGGTTACTGGACACTAAGGAACCCTGGACGGTGAGATGCTGACACGATATAAAGATGATTTTCTTGAACTCCCACTACAGTTCCAGCTGTGTGTTACCAATCCACTTTGTAAGAGGATGAGCTAGGAACACATACAACTCTGAAGTAGCTAAACGAAGCTTTGGCATAGAACTTGACATTTATTTTTCCTTTGTCTGAATCTCCACTTTGGATGTGCTCAAGCACACTGTTTCCTCACACACATTTTCCATCGGGGGAAATGCAGCAGCATCATGTTCAGTGCTTTTGGGCTATATTGAAAGTTTTGCTTTGCATTCTGCCCCATGAACCTGAAAGAAACACGGCGGAGGCAGAGCTGGCCATACCAGGCTGGGCTGTGGGGTTAAATGGCCCAATCAGCGCTGAATTGACTCAGCTGCCTCTGCAACATCAAAGGGTTCACAGCACTCCAGGAGTGTTCCCTGTTCTTTGAAACCATACAGATTCTGGGTAAGCTGTGGGAAAAAAAATAAATAATTCTTCAGCTGAGACCGAGTCTGGGAAAACTTTAGGCTCTCCAAAGTGATTATTTCCATAAATCGTGGGTGTGTTGGTTGGTAGTTACAGTTGTGTCAGTCAGGGAGCTCCGCTGCCTGCTATATCTCACAGTGACACCAATTTTCCCTTCCAATTAGATTTATTAGCAGAGGGTTAAAAAAAACCTAAAAAATCTCTTGAAAGCATCTATTTACTCTTTTTGCAATGATCCCAAGCGTTAACTTCATTCTGTCTCACAACACAATGATGCCTGTTATATTGTATGCACTTCTCAAAAGTGTACCATTAATGCATGCTTGTTGAACTTACAGTTTGAAAGGAAAAATCAATCTTGACAGAAATAAAATTCACCGAGAAAATATGATAAATAAATAGAACTCCTTGCCCTAAAAAAGAAATGCATTTCATCAGCTATCCTCCTTCCTGTGGCTGGTTTTCAATCCCCACAGACTAAAAGAGCATGCATTAATATATGCATCACCTTTGTAACGTTGCCTAGAATTTGCTACATGGGATGCAGAACCACCAACCCCCATAAAAGTCCAAGGATGTGATCTTTGTGTGAGGCTCAGGAAATGGCCTCACAGCCATGCAGGCATTACCTGTTTGTTAAATGAGGACCTGAATCACAGCAGCAAGAGGAGAAGAGCAGAGGAGAGCAAGAGGGGGGAAATATCTGATTGCATGCTTGCTTTCACTGTGTGAAATGCTGAAACAAGTGGAGTTACATCTGATTTGTGTTTTTGCAAGACAACAATCTGTTTCTCATCCATCCAATCTCTTATTTTTCTTTTAATTTTATGTGAAAAATTTCAGCCTAAGAACAAGAATGGATGGCACAGAGTTCATCAAGTGAATTGTGTCATAACTTCAAGGTTTTAAGAAAAAATTCAATTGGATGAGAGTTAAAAGAAAAACCAAACCAACATGTTCACATGTTGATTTAGGATACATATAAGGAAGGTAAAAATAATAATTGATTTTCAGCAATTATTTTTACTTCATGAGCCATGTATGTCACTCTCCTAAGCTACATCTCTGAATGGATTCCTGAATGACTGCAAGAGAAAATGCAAGAAAATGAATTTTCCTGGATGTACTTGGACATTTTTCAGCAATTAAACTGCTAATGTCCTATGAACAGCACACAATTTGTGGTGTACTTTCAGAGCACAGCATGTGGATAAATTTCCAGTCTAAAATGCCATCAGAATAACAATACTTCACAAAAGCTAAATGGAGTGTATCCTTCTGAATTATTGCAATTAGTAGAAATTGCATCTGTAGGTTAGAATCCAAAATGTGAAGTTCCAGCTTCAAAAATATGTAGAATTATACTTGTGCATGCATTACACAATAAACCTAAGTGTTGTGGTAAATCCTTATTCTTAATTTCTGCTATTCAACAGAGATGAATAAATCTGCAATAAATAAATAAATACATACTGGCTAATGTGACTTACAAAAATAATAAATAGGTTTTATCAAATGCAAGCAGCAGAGGACAAAGTTGCGGACATGAAGACTGTAGATTTTATAACTTGCAGCCGAGGAGCAAGTATGATTTCATTGGAAGCTGATAAATGACACACTCCCACAAATGAAATGATCTGACCACCGGTCACACAACTCCACAACTACTAAATGCCCTAAAAACATA